AGAGGGAGAATGGCGGAGAGAGAGAAAGGAGCCACGTCCCCGTCCGGATCCTCCCCGTTCTTGGGGCTGCATCTCGCCTCGCCTCCCAATTTCAGGTACCGAGAGCTTTCCCCTCTTGTCCGCCACCTTGGGCCCTTCTGGAAGGGAGATGCTTTCGCCGCAAGAGGGAGGGAGGGTGGAGAGAGCAAACAGCATCCACTGTGCCACCTTTCGCCCAGCCACCCACCCCCTGGCTTTTGGTAGCCCTCGTTAGCCTCGCGGAAAATCCTCCCCACCTTCATTCCACCTTTCGCCCACCACCCCTCATATTATGTACCTTTGCTGTTTAATCTAAGGGTGACAGGTAAATCATACTTAGCACATACCCAGAGCATAGGATGAAAGGGGGTGGAGGATCACAGACGAGGTCTCTTTCTCGCCCCCATCACTCTCCATTGCATGCACATCCCTGTGGAGCTGGGAGACTGGGAATATGGGGCTGTGCAGCCATCCAGATAGATCATAATCTCATTTATTCCTTGCCTTTGGTGTCACAAGCCTGTCAATCAGCAGGTGGGTTCCACTAGCGCATCCCCACCTCCTCCTGGAACAGGTGAAATATCTCCCCACTGACTCTTTTAGGAGGTAAAGGGAGTCATTTCATACAGCCTTCCCTCACCCCCACTTCCCTGCTGCTGCTTTGGCAGGAGAGAGAGAGAGAAATGGGAAAGGGTTCCTCTTCGCAATTTCTTTAATATGACGGAGACTGCACACATTCCTGCCTCAGGAAGCTACCTGCTGTGCTATCTCGCCTCCCAGTCCCACTCATCCGCCAGACAACATGCCCACAACCCTACTTAAATCTGAGCTTCTCATCAAGCCTTCTCTGTGTAGACATTTCTCTCACGCTATACACCGCAAACCTTCCCTGCTCCCTGAAAATTAACACAGGCAAATCTTAAGTCTTCTTGGGAAAACAAACAAATAAAGCAGGTACATCCTGTGCTAATTATGAATGCCAACCAAACTGTCCTTTTCCACATTCTTCCCTTTCCCAGTGAAACTGAATACCAAACCCTGAAGTAGGCTGGGGCAGATTTACAGCTCTCTGGATGAGATCTTTCAGTGTCTGAGACCATTTTGTATCTGAATAGTGAGAAAAATGCAATGGCTGTGAGGTATAAGCCATAATTGGATCAGGAAGACAAACAGGCTATAAACCACCTGTCTGGGAAGACACAGATGTGTTATTATGATGTCTCTTTGAGACCTATAGTATATACCTGCTCTTGAAGGCATATTTTGCATCTGGGCCATAGGTCAACAACTCCACATTTGCTCATATAATTGCTGGTATCTGGATTTTGTTCCTTTTATCTTTTACTTGTGAAGCTAAATGTTATTGTCTCATGGAGTGCATGATCAGTGATTTCCTAATGATCATGTGTTTCATGATTGATGTGCACTGCAGAATACAATACTTTCTGAGCTGGAAAAGAAGCCAAGATCTGTGACAAATGCTTCATTTTGCAAGATTTTGAGTGCATTTAACTTGAACTGATTTCAAGAAAATGTATCACTTTCCAAAGGGACTTCAGATGGAGGGAAATGAGCTTTCTGGTGGTAGAAAAGGACTTTAATACTGTAAGAGGGACATTATCTGCTTCTGATGGATGATGGGTCCAGGCTTGTGTCAGACTATATGTTTGTTTGGTGTGCCTTTTGATTTGAGTACTAAGTGCTAGAAGATACCTGAAAATTACCCAGTTTTTCTCAGGAAACGATTCTCTATAGGTCCCAACTAATCCAAATCACAGCTTGCCACAATCAGCCATGGTTAGACAGTAAGCCTCCAAATTAATTTCTCCCTTTGACAGCGATGGTGTCAGTATGTGAAGTATGTGACAACATAGAGCTTTGCATTTTTTGTTTATCACTCAAAGGTTTCAGAAGGCTAATAGTTAGGAATACTCTTTACAAACTTTATAAACTTTGCCATAATATATTCGCGAAGGATTTCACGGCCGGGTTTTACAAACTTTATAAACTTTGTCATAATATATTCGCGAAGGATTTCACAACCGGGATCTAATGGTTGTTGTGGTTTTTCAGGCTCTTTGGCCGTGTTCTGAAGGTTGTTCTTCCTAACGTTTCACCAGTCTCTGAAGATGCCGGCCACAGAGACTGGCGAAAATGCCAGCCACAGAGACTGGCGAAACGTCAGGAAGAACAACCTTCAGAACACGGCCAAAGAGCCCGAAAAACCCACAACAACCATTTGTCATAATAGTTTTTGCAGTTGAGAAAAAGAACAGATATTTTTCATGTTAATCCAGATCCATTCTGAAAAGATCAATGTGGAGCAGCCTTCATGCTACAGTTTTGCTGCCAGAGGATAGCAGCTTTGTAGTATGTCAGGAAAGACATGTTGTGGCATGTCAAGCATCTCACTTTTTTGAAGAAGGGGGAAGGCATCTAGATAGGGAAAAGAACAAGTTCAAAACAAGGATGGGGACCTTATGACCTTCCAGACATTGGTGGATTACAACTTACATCAACCTTAACAATATTAAAGATGAGGGTGGTTGTAGCCGAACAGTGTCTGGGGAGCCTCACATTCCTTCCAGATACAATAGTAGTAATGTCTTTATAAATAGCAAATAATTGTTGCTTAACAATAAGGGGAAGACTTCATCAGGTTGTTGCCCTTCCTAAGAAAAGACCCATTGGATGTGACCTAAGTTTTATGTTTTCAGAAGTGGCTAAATGGACATTCTTGGTATGTAAAGCAGGGAATGTAGAAAATAGCCTTCTGTATAATGTCTGTTTTAATCGGAGACATTTATCACTTTTAAAACTTGCCTTTCTTCCAAGAGCTCATGGTTGCATATATGGTTCTCATTCTTCTCCATTTTATTTTCACAATAAGCCTGTGGCATAGGTTGGGCTAAGGGATAATGATTGTCCAAGGTTGCCCATTGAGTTGTTACGGACAAGTTGTGTTTTGAACTTAGGTCTTCTCAGGCATTCCATCACCATATTCAGAGGAATACTGTTACTGAGAATGGAGGTTCATTTCATTCAACTTTCATGGCTCACAGAGACACTGATAAGCCATGATAGGGATGTATAATCTCCAGGCTTAAAAGGAAGGTACCTCTAAATGCCAGATGCAGAGGATGGGTATCAGGAGACAGATATCTAATTCTCTAAACAATTATAGGTAACTAAAAAGGTAAAGGTAAAGATTCCCCTTGATAAATGTCCAGTTGTGTCTGACTCTAGGGGGTGGTGCTCATCCCTGTTTCCAAGCCATAGAGCCAGCTATAGACAGTTTCCGTGGTCATGTGGCCAGGGCAACTAGACACAGAACGCCGTTACCTTCCCACCAAGGTGGTACCTATTTATCTACTCGCATTTTTATATGCTTTCAAACTGCTAGATTGGCAGGTGCTGGGTCAAGCGACGGGAGCTCACTCCGCCACGTGGATTCGAACTGCTGATCTTTTGACCTTGCAGCCCAGGGGCTTTGCGGCTTAACCTGCAGCGCCCCCACACCCCGTAGGTAACTAGTTACTTGTAATTGATTTCTTTTCCTATAACAAAGGCATAATTAATTACATTATTATAACTTAGCAAGGGATTACTTTACTCCTTTTGTCGTATAGATGTAATATTTCCATTAATTTATGGAGGTTGGCCTCACCGAATAATGCAGGAGAAAATATCTTACGAATCAAGTGCTGGTTCTGTCATGGATAGAGCTGGCTGGGGATTCTGGGAGTTGCAGTCCAAAAAAAGCAATGTTTCCAAGCTCCATTTGTGATTGGTGGAACCATGGTAATTAAAATTGCACCAAACTGCTATAATTTTATACTGCAGGGATTTCCATATGTCAGTGTTTATAACACTTGTCAGCATGGATAAAAGTCAATGATTTAAAAATTATTTAAATCATGATTTAAATTTAAAAATTTTAAACCAATTTTTAAAATTTAAATCTTCAAAAAAATCAGATTTTTAAAATTTAAACTGTGATTGAAACTATGATTTAAATAGATTTTTAATATCTATATATTTTTAAAAGTCAGTAGAAATACTTCTACCTTTGCAAAAACCGGGAAGGTATATGAAGACATTATGCTGGACTTTTAATTTTTCTTATATGCCAAAATTGACAGTTTGCCTCCTCCCCCCCCCGCTTTCTTTCTTTTCTTCTTCCATTTACTGTTGTTGAAGGCAGGGGATGATGTTTCCAGAGAGATATCTGTAACAATCTGAATATCTTACTGGCTAATCATAACCTATGCTGATCTTGTCAGCATTTGTGTGATGCTAAGAGTTCTGCTCAAATGTGCATCATATCACACTTACTCAAATTGTATGTTATTTGCCCCCTTGTTGCCATCTCACACAGTTTGAAGTTATCTTTTTGGAGCACTTTGTAGTCTGCTTTTATTTCATCATCCTGAACAATTTGGTGTTATCTGCAAACATTGCTTTCTCCGTGGTCATCCTGAACTTCAGATGGTGTAAAAACATGTTAAATCGCAATCATTGCAATAAAGCCTCTTGGGGGACATAATTTCTTATTTCTTACATTTTAAAATGTTGCAGAAGAGCTGCTATATCCTGGTATGGCAGCCAAGTTCACTTAACTGCCCCCTCCCCCCAAAAAATAAAGCATGACCCAACCTGATCTAAAGCATGATCTTCAAATCTCTTTGTGAAAAGTAATACACTTCCCAATACATTTGACTTTGGAACATCCTCCAAACATTTAAAACATTTGCAAATGTGCTCCAGTGCCCCACGCCCCACTGCAGAGTGTTCCTGTTCCTGGTTTACCTGAGTCACCCAAGCCCTTATCCACCATACTGTATAACATTCCCCTTCCCACTTAGTTTTCTGTGTACCTTCCTCTTGAACATGAGGTGGGGGTGGCATTTAGCTATATGAACAATAGCATCCATATCTGAACACTGGAAATAGAATGAGGTGTGCAATAGTGTTCCAATGTAGTGTATGTTTAGAATATCAACTGACCTGTTCTAGGATAAGATGCTCAATTTCCCCTATCTCTTCCACCCATCTCCTGCCTCCCTCCCCCAAATTC